GGAGGAGGAGGAGGAGTGAAAGAAAAAGAGAATGAAGGCCAGGCAGAAAGGAGAACAGTTGATGGTGGTGAGAAAGAGGCAGTGCAGATACCAGGAGACAAAGGGATAAATGGAGAGAGGAGGAGAGAGGAGGAGAGACGGACTAGTTTGCCACAAGCGTCAACATCAAGTGGGAGCCACAGTTTGCCACAGTGCTCTGAACAGGTGATGTCTCCTGCCTCCTCTTCCTCGTCACTGTCATCTCCTCCGACCCCGTCCTCATCCCAGGAGGCTGGCACCAGCGAGCCTGGATATGTCAACTACTCACGCCTGCACTACTGCCTCCAACAGCCAGGGGAAGCAGAGCAGAATACAGGAGGTGAGCGAAAGAGGAGGAGACAGAGGATGAGTGATTAGAATTAGAAATTACTGATCAGGTCAAGTCTGAAGCTCCCACATTTTTCTTCTCCGTTTCTGCGTCTAGGTTATGAAGACGATAAAGTTCAGCTACCTTTTACAGTCACTGACCTTAAAGGACGGAACCTGCAGCTGGTCACTGGGCCACACAATGGGCAGGTATGTGTGTGCCAGTATATCTGTGTGTGTCTATTGTGTCTACAAATCTACAAAGCTGTTATTGAAAAAAAAAAAAATCTAACAAAAGCTGCTCTGAAATTTGATACTTAACTCATGCCAATGATTGGGTGTTGCTGTAGGCAACCAATGCCACCACTGATCTAGGAAAGACTGTTAAGTGTCTCATAGTTATTTTCTATAATGACATGTACCTGCCTGTAAATTCTGTGCCAGAACCTGCATTCATTCACTAAAAAGAAACATAAGTCACATATGTGAATTGTGAGGGTTTGTGTGTACCTTTTTAAAAAAAATGTTGCTTACGTTTTAACGTGTGTGTTCTCTCCTTCAGAGTGTGTGTGTGGAGCAACTTACCTTAGACTTTGAGTATCTTATCAATGAGGTGATCAGGAGCGATGCTGCCTGGGCCCCCCAGTTCTGCTCCTTCAGCGACTATGATGTTGTGATATTAGAGGTCAGCACACACACACACACACACACACATACACACACACACACACATACTAACCTTTCATATCTGAGAACTGTCCTGGTCTGTGTTTCCATTGTGGAGGTAATGTAGTGTGTTATGGTTTTCAAACAATACACTGTTTTCCTCCTCTATAGATTGGATTGCAAATACTGTCTCACGTACTGTATCTTCAGAAGATCATTTTGCATTTGACCTGGAGATAATGTGTGTTTGATGTGTATCAGGTGTGTCCTGAAACCAACACTGTGATGATCAACATCGGCCTGCTGTTACTGGCCTTCTCCAATTCAGACGAGGAGCACTGCAGGTATTGAATAAACCCAGAACCTTCTCAGGCCCTGTATCTGACACCTTTTTCTGTTCCTGCTAAGTCTGCTTTTCATTGTTTTTTGTTCCCAGGCCAAACACGTACCATTCCAACCTGCAGGTCAGCTGGGACCTAAACACGGGTGTGTGTTGCACTGTGGGTGTTGGTGACCTTACAGAGGTCAAGGGTCAGACCAGGTAAGGAACTACTGCCCCCCTCACACACACAGACCTGTCCGTCTCCCTCTTGTGTTATTATGCTCGGTGCGGTTCTGTTGTGTTAACGGTGTCGATCTTTATCCTGTCAGTGGGAGTGTGTGGAGTTCGTACAGGAAGTCCTGTGTGAACACTGTGATGAAGTGGTTGGTTCCCGAGAGCAGCACCCGCTACATTAATCGCATGACCAATGAAGCTCTACACAAAGGTGAGTTGTATACACTTTTGCACACACATTCACTGTCCTGGTATCTACCACAGACTCTCCTACACGGATCAAATGTTGTTGTTCAGATGTCTATGAGGATTCTTATTCATCCAGCTCAGAAGTTACAGGGCTGATACAACTGGATTAGAGCAAACTGCTTCTTACTTCTACTTCTAGTGACCAGATCGATAGCAGCTGGGGACCTTTTTAGTATTTTTTGTGCATTGGAATTTAAAGCAGCATGTGGACAAAAGTGGTAGTGTTTCCACCGCCTCGTTTGGTCTAATTTCTTGGGGAATCTGACCAAATCCAACCTGGTGATATGCATTAGGTATAACTGCATAGAAATAGCCAATCTTCTTCTTCTTTCTTTTTTTTGGGTAGGTCATATCAGTGCATCAGTATAAACCAGTTAAACATTTCTTGTAGTATGTTTAATGGACCTCTATTAAAAGCTGAATACAAACACAAGGTCTACCAGATAGCGATAAGAAAAAGTGTTTGTGGAAGTGACCGCACTCTCAGCTTACAGTCACCAGCACCTTTTGCTTCACTGCATCTTGTGCACAAAGATTTTTTGCTGTTACCATAAATGTTTTCAAATTGATTAAATAAATTTCTTTAAAATGCAGGCAAATCCAACTTAACTACTTGAATTGCTGTACAGCCTTCATCTTGTGTGCTAGTGGACGGACATACTCGGAGAGGCTGATCTACTTTGACAGTTAAATTAAAGTACACTTTGACACACTTGCTTGCCAGACTTGCAACCATTTTACGTGACCACGCTGTTCCTTTAAGCGTGTTGCTAGGTCACTGACAATGTCAGAGCAGGAAAAGCACAGCTGCTAATAATCAACGATGGCTCTGTTCTATTTAAGTGTCCCAGTAAGCAGTGATAGTGTGACAGCGAGCCATGACACAGGCATGACACAGTAGGAAAAGCACAGGTGTAAATAATAAAATGAACGATGGCTGAATTCCATTTCGCTATTATTGTGCACGCTGGCTTACTGTCACATTGTACGTTTACTGCCTGGGACAATGAAATGCAAAAGTGATGGTGACACCTGTGTTTTTTCCTACTGTCATATGTCGACATTTCTGCTGTGAAAAAGGCCTTAACCAGGACCCTGAAACCAAAGCAACTAAATGGAATTTTGCCATCAATCATTTTATTATTTATACCTCTGCTTTTCTATACTACGACTGGAAAATGTCTTCAGTTAAAAAGGCCTTCTAGATAATACCTAGTGCCTAGGACATTTGTTATTTCTTTTAAGTGTTTATTTCAGATAAATTCAGTCGTAGTACTAATATAGGTTAATTAATAAGGTCGATTGGGCCAGCAGTTTGTTACTGCAGTAATGTCTCAGTCCTGTGTGGACCCCAGACACTGTGGTCCGACTTTATGTTTGCCGTTTTCAGAACAGGTCCCAGCCACTGTAGGAAGTTTCGACAGTCCTTGCAAACTTGTTTTTGATTTGTGTGTTTGTGCAGATCGTTATGTATTCTAATTCAAACATCACTCGTCTTGTCACCTGTAGGCTCGTCCCTGCAAGTGTTGGCAGATAGTGACCGATGTACCTGGATTGTATTGTGAAGAAAGAAGTGTCAAAGCAACGGAAGGAAAAGCACACGGCAACATGGCCTCGTCATCAGTATGAAGCTCGACCCTAATCTCAGCAAAACTGCACACGTTCAGTGACTGCGCTACATGTAGTTCAAACGTGTCAAATAGAAACCGAACAAAGAACGCTTTAGATTCAATACTATAAAGATGGAGATTTTTTTTTAGGTGGTCTGTGTTTAATTTTACAGGTTTCATCCTTTTTGTAATTGTGTACTGTATCATTGCAACCACCAAAACCGAGAGCTGGACTGAACGAAGATTTAGTTTTTACATTTTTGTTTTTATACATAAAGGCGTACTGTTATTGTAGTGTGAGTGTTCCTTATGTGTGTCTGTAACTGAACGTATGCAATATCTGCACCTATGTGATGTGACAAGGGGATTTCAACCAGAGAACAAGTGTGTGAATGTATGAGTGTGTGCATGTTTAGTGTAACATTTGACAGATTCTGCTGCTTCTGAACACGTAGTTTCCTCACGTGGTCTGGACCTGTTCAGTCTAGCAGTGTTGATTTATGAGGCTGCAGTATTTAAAATGAGACAAATTGAACCCAGTACTGCATCACTTGACTCTTCACATTGTTTTTTAAACTTGTGTCATGGAAGTAGAGGGTTGTTGGAGTCACCTGCTCAGCTGGTTGACATCACACTGTATGTTTACTGGCTTGGAAGTGACACTTTCGTTCTATTGGGATATTTTGTTAAAATAAAATGTTCAAAAGTTGTTTGTGCATCTGTTGTATTAAGAACTGGATACACAGTTAAGTCTGTAAAAGCTCTATTCAGCAGGCTCTCTGCTTACTCATCGCCTCGGGTCAGTGGAACCTGAGATCTAAAACTGTCATGGTGCTTAACCCCTGGTATACTTGCTTGCAAGCTTTAACTTTAAAAGTTATTCAGATTCAAAAAGAAAACCGGTATTTGGTTAAACTGGTAACAAATGGTTGATAACGGCAGCCTGTGACAAAGGGTCCCAGATACTGTATGCTTCATTTTAAAGGGGCACTATTTTACACATGTACTACGGCAGTTATATAAAGGCTTCTGTGGCTCTGGAGGAACTTTCTAAAGTGTGAAAAAATAAACCTGATTATCTTATTAAGGTTAAGTGTGCTTGGGCTTTAGACTTCACATTTCTAACAGAAAGCCTGCAGTACAAACTGGTCTGACAGAAGTGGGCATTTAGGGGGCAGGGAGGGTCTAATATAGACACTAAAATTAAGGATATTTCTGTCAATAGTGTCGTAAATTCCATAGTAAGTAAGAGAGTAAGTCCATAAAGTTGTGATTTTCTCAACTTTATGGGAGTACAATACTACATTGCTGGAGAACCCACTTAAGGGGCCACAAGCCAAAAAGGTTGAGAACCTCCGGTGTAGGTGATGTGGTTGAGCAATGACCAAGAGCAAAGTCTAGAGTGGCTGCACGAAAGAAAGAATTCTGGCACAAGTTTTGAGAGCAAACATCATTTTAGTTGACAGTGAGAATAAAGCTACAAACGTTGATCACAGATCTAAGTACAAAGGTCTTCAGAATAACATAAAGAGGACCTCATTTATAAAAGGTTCAGCAGCACAAGCTAAGAACATCGCAGTTAGCAGTTGATTTTATTTTGAAGTCAGATTCTGTAGTCTGCTCTCACAATATTAACACATGTAAATATACCCTTGTTTTCTGCTTAGTGCTCTTTGGTGGGATCTTGGTAGTCATTCCATCCTGAGGGACATCCCACTAGTACGATTAGAATTCCTATTGTTTTCCTTTCAGTCCCAAAGTACAACACACTTAATAAAATCTAAATCTGCTCATGCCATGTGAGAGGCTGCTGGTTGAGCATGTGCTCTTTGGAAAGGGTTCATCTATAAAGTCACCATATTCACATGCTTGGTCCATCATCACCATCATCACAATAAAAATATAGCTCAATAATCTGGATGGTGGACACACCACAACATTTTTAAGGCAATAATGGTTAAACAACATACAAATAGTTTGGATATATGACAGTGTCCACAAAAGGTACATAATATAGGTTATCTACAAAATGTTCAACATTGATACCCAGAAAATAAACATCTACTTTCACACTACAAAAAGTTTGAGATAGCTGTAGCTGGTACATAGGTTGTCATGGATACAGTGTAGTAAGTGCTGCTGATTGGGTGGGATAAGCTTTGGCCTTGTACTGTGGCCCGTTCAGGTTGCACTGCATCTATGAAGGTGTGTGTGGTGGGGTAGCACTTAAGCCGTCTGTCCAGTTTGTTTGTGTGTGTGTGTGTGTGTGTGTGTGTGTGTGTGTGTCTGTTTAGAAGAGAGATTATGAGCTTGAAAGAACGGATGGCTGATATATAGATAAAACAGTGGATGGATGAGGAACATCAAACTGGGCAGAATCATCACGAGGTTTGACTGTCACCATCTCAGATTTGTTTGTTTTTTCACAGCTATTAAAAGTTCATGACAACACCAACACTACTTCACAGGACCTTCATTTATTAATCCACTGATACAGAATATATAGAATACAAGCTTTTTTTCAGGCTAGAAATCTCTCAAAGGCACAGGGTATCAGTTAATTGGCCAAATTAATAAGGATAATACATTAAAAAGTAAAATATGGCATCCACATAGCTGTCAATCAACATCCATGTGCCAACAAAATCCATGGTTTGCAGTATCATTCCAGATGCTACTGTGAGGTTAAAAAAATTTAAATTTCAGACGGTGCCATTCATTATAGTCCAGCTCCCCTGCATAGTCATTGCTTTAAAAGGCAAGGTGAGTGATAGTTTGAGTATAGAGTACAATGAAGAACACTGGAGTCTTATCTCACCACAGCAATCAGGTCAGTGGTTAAGGCGGGGCAGGAGGGAATCAAGAATATACTGTGTTTACTGTATACAGTATACTGTAGGCTGGACAGCAGCGGCTACTGACGTCTAACCACTGGATAGACAGGGAAGGCACAGGGAACGAGGGAAGGGCTGAAAATGAGCAGGTGAAGGCAAAGAGAAAAAGATTGGCAGCACAGAAGTACAGAATACAAAATTGGCAAAGGGGTCTCCAACTTTCCTACATACTTGCACGCACATACACCCACACACCCACACAACAGACGACCACACACTCAACACCAAATGTCATGTGTTTGCACACCAGAAGCATACACTGGATGACAGAATGGGATGACATGATGTTAAACTTAAAGCAAAGGTGAGTGAGTGTGTGTGTGTGTGTGTGTGTGTGTGTGTGTGTGTGACTAAGGTGGGGTGCTGTGGGTCTCGGTCAGAGTGTGCAGATTCAAACTCGTCCTGGGCAGCTTGGCGGGCGGCTCCATTGGCTCCTTCTCATCATCTACTGCACTCAGGGAGCTGGACTGCAGCACCAGATCTCCAGTCTCGTCCTCGCTCTCATCTTCCTCATCCTCCTCTTCTTCTTCTGATGGACAAAGGCATCATTAGGTGACCTGATAACAGAGGCTGGAGCAAAACGTGAAACCATCTGTGAGGAGAACCACACTAGATTTACCTTTCTCCAGGTCCGGAGAGATTCGGCTCTTGATGGTGCTGGCAAACTGCAACCCAGAGTAAGGGTTAGACATTTAGAAACATATATTAACAAGTGCACACTGAACCTATGTGAGGTGCTGTAGGTGCAGACACATACTTCTCCCATGACTGCAATGGGTGTCACTCCTTTAGCCTGGGCCACCCTGTGTTCTATCAGGTAGTACATATACTCATCATACAGCAAGCGGATCAGGTGAAAGGAGCCAAAACTGGCAGCACTGCGCAGAGTCAGGTCCCGGATTACCATAGAACTGGTGAGACAGCGGAGAAAGCATAGAAAATGATCTTCAATGGAAAAACCAAATAATTCTATATATCATGTTTTTCTTTTCCCCTCACCTATAGAAGGACCAGTTGAGCAGGAAGACCTTGGCAGCCTTTGGTAGGGCAACAGGGTTTTGCTCGTAAGGCTTTAGAGCCTGAGAGACAACACCATCCAGCCAGGTTGCCCACTGCTCCAGAGAGTTTTGCTGCTGCAGAGTCATCTTGAAGTCTTGCTCCAGACGCTGTACTACACGGTCTTCACACTGACACACCCAGGATGCCTGCTCCTGAGGGGGACACGGGTCAGGGTACTGCTCTATTTCACTAAAACACCAGTGCACAGTAATAGATGGGAAGTGGGGAAGGAGAGAGACAGCAGTACAAACCTGTACATTAGTGAAATCAACACGGTTGAGGTCTGAAAGCATCTGGTTGATCTGGGCTGAGTTCTGGAGGACAGCGCGGGCTGCCTGGGCCAGGTGGTTCAGGCTGGTGTACCGGCGCAACGTCTGAGAGAAGGAGCCTACACACACCACCTGAGGGAAAGAGGGAGGAGACACAATGCGCATTGTGTCAGAACTAAAGCACAAAGACTATCAAATATAATAAAAAGTAATCACTCCTCTATATTACCTTTACGCGAACCATCTCCTCCGGGATGTTCATCATGCCCCCTGTCAACCAGTTCTCCAGACTCTTGGCAAAGTTACGGATGGCCTGAGTTAAGGCACCTGAGGAAGGGATAAGAAAGAAAGAAAGAAAGAGAGAGAGAGAGAGAGGGTTTGCATTTACATTTAAACATGAAGCTGTGTAGTAGAAGGTAGAACTCCTAAACTCGCCCCCAGACTGAAAGAGCAATTTTCATCAATTACTGTTGAATGGCTCACTCAACAGTTTTGTATACAGGGCTCTCATGGGCCTCAATAACTTACTGGGGATGGGTCTCAGTACATCAGGGATGAGCATCTCCACCAGAGTCTGGTAGAGCAGGTTGTCGCACTCTTTCGTCCAGCTCAGCACGGGGTCGTACTTGCACAGCACCACCAGGCACGATTTTGGCAGACGCTTCTCAGACTCGTTGTTCCTGGAGGAGCGCATGAGATAGTTGTGACGGCGGAGAAGACAGACCACTCATACTCAGTCCCAGTTGTGAATGAGATCTATGTGCCAGCATTTCATGCATCAGATTGTTTGGGTGTGTTGGTGACACTTACAGGTCGAGTGATTCTGCGTCACTGCTCTGGCTGAACCTCCAGAAGGATTTCCAAAGTGTCTCCACAAGAGTGAACTGAAGGTTGACCATCACGTCCAGAATGGCCTTTGGGGAGCACACATAACACCACAGAGGTGTTCTAAACTGTCTTCACACGCCATTTTCATTGGAAAGAGTATTTTCTTGAGAGTCTTTTAGCATGTACCACTAAAGTCAACTTTGACATCAGACAGCTGGCTGTTATTAAAGCTGGATTTGAACAGTCACTACATCAAGCGCTGCGTATGTGGACAGAGAAGTAAGCTAATTTATAATCCAGGGTATTATAATTAGTGTGCATGTCCTGTCTTTGTCCATGACTGCCTACCTCACAGTGTTCTCTGTAGAGAGTCTGAAAGGCCTTGAGGTGTTCTAAAAGGATCCCATCAGGCAGGGTTTGACCTTGCAGATCAATCTCCACAAAGTCTGGCAGCGGCCTTGAAGCCTCTACACAAGATACAGCAACAGAGAAAGAGAGGGAACACAGAGTAACAGAAAGATCATCAGTTACACGTGTCAGACCTACTCTTCATCATCACTCGTTGTATCAAAGATCTAAAAAGTGTTCATTCCTAAATCATATAATAAGAGTGTGTGTATTGCTTAAAAAGGTGAACATGCAGTTATTGCTCACCCAGAAACTGCTGATACTGTTGCACCTGCGCCGATATATCACAGAGTGCCGTCCCCTGCTGTTGACCCAAACCACTTGATGTCCCATTGGTGATCCCCTGTGTCTTCTGAACTGGCTTTATCCTATCGGGCAAAGTAGGCATCAATCACGGAGGCAGAGATAGTGAGTCACAGGGAAAATGCAGCTAATGGTGCAACCGGAGCCTTTAAAACAAGTTGCTATTACATCATAAGCAAAGCACATCATAACACATGTTACATCTTGTTGTTGAAGGGATCTACAACTCAAGATGCACTGTTATGCCCTGTTCACTTTTGGCACCACAGTGTGTCTGTGTGTATGTGTTAAGGCTGACACAATACAAGTTTTAAACTTTGGATACAATAATAGATAAAATAGAAAAAAGAAAAAAAAAATAAAAAAAAGAGATCTTTAATACCACAGCAAAAATGTAAAAACTAAAATGTTGGAGGCAGACAAAATGGGATCTTTTTTTTTTTTTCTTTTTAAAAATAAACAACTTGCACACACTTCTGGTTCAGAAGAAAGTGGGAGAGTGACCATTAACATTTAACAGCTTCGATAGTTTCAGTACTATCGAATATATTATCAACTGAGATTGTATTGTTTTAAACAACAAATAAGTATCTAAGTATTAATACTGTGTACACATTTAATCCTTTCAGCCACAGGAACACAAAGGCGTGGCCGTGTGTGGATACCTGTTTTTCTGTGAGAAAGGCTGCTGCCTCATTGCCATGTGCTGTTGTTCATCCATCAGTCTGAGCAGAGGGGAGCCAGATTTGATCCGTAGACCATAGTAGTGGTATTTAGAGTTCCCTCTGAAACACAAACATGAAAAGTTATAAAAAGATATTCTTCGTCTAGCAAAATCAATGTACGTGTGTGTGTGTGTGTGTATACATATATACCTGGTCCCTAATCTCCGTGTACGTAGCCCCATGAAGACAGACCTAATGAGCTTGCCGAATGATGCAGCATTAACAGGTTCTAGTTTCTGCTCCTGGCAGTGCAGCAAGTAGTGGTAGTACAGGGTACAGCGGGGTAAACTCACCCCCTCTGCCCCCTCATAGTTCTCACACAGCCACTGCACCTGAGGGAGATGACATCATTTTTGTTTTCATGTCTTTCATGTCTTAGATCATAACACATTTTTCACTTTGAACTTCAGTACTCACAGTGGCAGGTGGGGCGCGAGAGTTAGGGCTGGAGTAACTCTGTCCTCCTCCTCCACCTGTTCCTCCACTAGCTCCTCCTCCTAACACATAACCTCCTTGAATGACGTAGCCTCCTCCGCCCGCAGCAGCTCCCCCGCTATTGGCTCCCGCTGTTGCCACAGAAACCGGCTGCGAAGTCACCGAGCCGGGGATGTCCGACTCAGAGCTGGCTGTGGCCTCGTAGTAGGTGGAGGAGGAAGTAGGAGGGGTCTGGGAGTAGAGGGGCGAGTCGGAAAAAGGATATGTGCCCGATCGACTGGACAGGAAAAGACACATGTGGGCGTACACACACACACACACACGAACATATGAGTGCACAATAGGGACAGTTGTGTGACCAGGAAAGTTGCAAGGTGATTGTGTGTGTGCATGATCATATCTTTGAGATATGATCATGCACACAGAGGAGTGTCCTCTCTACTCACATGGTGGATGTGGTAAAAGTTGCATCTCCTCCTCCTGCATCCACATACACCTGGCCAGAGTACACATGCTCCACCTGCAAAACCAGGCAAACAGGAGACTTAAAGCAGCATTAATGGATTTTTTTGGCCACTTGGAGGCAACACAAGCTGTAAACACAATACGGAAAAAGTTGTTATGGTGAACATGTTAGCAAACAGTTGTCTATTTACACATCTAACAGACACGGAGTAACATTAGCATTCAACATGCAGCCAAGGGCCGGAGCTTGGAATCAAACCTGGGCCTTTGCACGCACTTTACCAGGTGAGCTACCGTGCACCCCAACCAATTTTCTTTTAATACTATTCAAACCACATTTTGTTGTTCTACTGGGGAAAATAACTGTGCTGTGCTCCGTAACTGGGTCAAGAGGTAGGTGGGTATTAAGGAATACAACTAGAAAAACATAGAAGTCTCAGGGTTATAGTCGGCCATTAAAGATTGATCTAAGTGCTGGTCCAAAAACAACCCTAACAGCTTGTTCGCTCACACAGGTAACAGCATGACCTGCAGAGTTCAGTGTTCAGGAACATCTCAGACAGCCTGGCGAGGCAGCAGTTAGTGAGTGAGGGATTAGCAAGAGGGAATGAAAGAGGAGGAAGGTGATGGAGGTGAAAAGACATGCATCCTACATCCCTCTCTTTCTATCTGCCTGTAACACTGGACAAAGCCAACACAGGAGGAGCCATTACCTTTACACTTGTTTTATTGTAATGTACTTATTGCGTATTCTCTTACATAATAAGAGGAAATGTTTTGTATGTCTGTTTACCTCCTGGTTAATGTGCACAGATTGTAGGTTGTTGATGTGGCCAGCCTGAATCCTCTTGGCTGCCTGCGACACCGCTTGCAACACTGACCTCTGCTGGTGAGTAGAGCCACAGTGACAGATAGAACTTTGGGTGCTCAACCATTTGATGTGACTTGTTCCTACTTGGTCAAATGGCAAATCCATGCGGTTTGCGTATGTGCGTGCATCTTACCTGCTGGGTGGTCTGCACTGGTTGGACCACCTGAGTAGGAACACCAGGGGCAGGTGGACTGGAGTCTGACAGGCTGTCATTGGAATGAACAGAGCCCTCTAGGGATGACAGACAGAGCGAGGGAGAGAAGTTTCTTCAGATAATTGAACAAATCTCAACAGAAAAACCAGCCACCATTACCACAAGTTCAGTACTCACGACATACTGCTTCCAAATCGTAATAACAGCCACCGCAGAACATCCTGCAACAAAGTTGGTGTTTTTTGTTCAGCTGAGGAGAAGCTGATAATGGGAGCGGAGGAAGAGAGTGTGTTTGCCCAACTCTCCTTTCATCCTTATATCTTGCATGCAGAAGGGCAGCCTTGGACAGCTAATCTCCCCAGATGGAGAGAGAAATCACTCCATCATGTAAACATGCAGATCAGATGAGAGGGGGAAATGAGAGATCCATGAGGGATGATGGATGGAGAAAACAGAGGATGGAGGGTGGGCAGGAGGAGGTTAATGTTCACTTTCTTGTGCCCTTCAGGTGAGGTGACTGTTTTACACTGTCCAGCTCTCACTGTGCTGCTCTTACTTCAACCTGAGTTAACCGCTGTAACCATACACGTAGTTACACTTTGGCCAAGTTACACTTGAGCCAGCACAACTCTGCACAACCCACCACTTAATTTAATTTTGCATTATGATGACAACCAGTCTCTCCTCAAATGTTTGTACATTTTGACTATTAACTGTTCCTTCCCAGCTGGCAGTTGGCTGACTGCTGGGAAAATAACAAAGGCAATGTCACTCTGTGTAAACCATTCTGATCCATGACTTTGTTCAGGTTTACCCAATCCTGACAACTGCAGCTAGGACCAGAACATAGACCTTTAACGTATGCCCACATACAAGCAACCACATATTGTTGATAAAACAGGCATATTTATGTATACATATGTATTTTACTATTTTCATCACGTGGTATTGTCAATTTAGCTCTTACTTTTTCAATCACCTACATATCAATTTAGTGTTTTAACACATAAAAGTATCAAACAATGGCTCGATACAGGAGCCAAAAAAGCACCTGAATATGGGGACTAGGAAACTGTGATGGACATTTGTGTTGTTGTTCTTATTTATTAAAAGATTTCTGTCATCATTTCTGCCAGTTTAAGTGGTAAAAGCATACCGCTGTGAAGTGTATGCTTTCTTAAAATTAAGTGAGCTACTTACAACAACTGGACTGCCTGCTGCAAAATAAATGTATATTTAAAACATATATATATATATCTGATATCTTGATACTGATATCATGAAGTCCTGGATGAACAGAAGAACCTGTTTTTCTTTCTACACAATGTCATCAGTTTTGTGTTGTTCAAAAGAAGTAGGTTGTTACCACATCAAACCTTGTGTCTGTGTATATTCAATGGACATCATTCTAGCCTGGTATCACAAAGTGAATATCTGTATAAAGAACAAAGAAAGGAGTATCCTCTTACAGCAGTATTGCCAGGTAAGCTGCATAACTGTGCTGAGTCCAGGTCTTTTTACTGCAGTGCACGTTCAAGACAGGAGAGAAAGCCAGGTTTTAATAAGCGCAGTTATTCAGCTAACTTATCTGCCCTACTTTATGAGAATGAGACAAGCCCCAGGCCTGTGAGTCTCTCACCCTGGGTGGGAGTGCACAGTGTTACTTGATACTAGCAGGCAAAAAGATCTACGAATAGACAGCCCTAAAATAAACATACAGAGAGACACCAGTGTCGGGGGTCAGTTCTCTCTCGTTTCTACTAGTTACGCCATATTTTAAAATACTAACTGATGTCTTCGTGGCCAAACATTTGTTTATTAAAAAAGCAATGGCCTAAATTACTTTAAACCAATATCTGTAAAAGGGTCCAAAGCCATGTGAGCACACACTACATTAGTTACCATAGACACAGGCAAAAGATGAGATATCTTTTTGTATTACTGCAGGAATTGCCAACTTAAAGTCATGTAGATGTAATATTAAAAAATCATTATACCACCAACTCTCTATAACAGCTAAAGCAAGACAGTAGAAGTGAAGTCAGGCTTCATCCATCAGCTCCCACGTTTGGACTATGTATCCTAGCAACCAAGTCCATCCGCTTATTTTGTCTTCATAATGTATGCACTACCCAACCAGAAAGGAAATCTACATCACTACTGAGATCTATGTTTCCTGGTGGGACATAGATCTCAGCTCATCTTCCTTTAGAAATCTAATCAGACCATTTTAAATATGGGCTAACTACATGACCCAAAGAAACTCACATAACAAACATTATCACCATAACCAAAAACTATTCAGATTACTATGCACAAATGTAGTCAGGCAATTCCTAAAATGCCTGTGGATATCATTGGAACTGGGCTTTAGCTTCTGACGACCAGCTCAAAACTGCACACAAATTATTTTTCCTAAAGTCCTGCTGATAAAATGTTGATGTGCAACAAGTAAATCTAAGCTTGGGATGAAGATAAGAAAGTGACTGTGCACTTGATTCACAATAAGAGATAAAATGATGAACTAGGCCAACGAATATAGAATGAACTGATCATGGTGTTGATTATTGTACAGTAGTGATAGTTAAAGTTAATAGTGAAGTAAAAGTGATCAATCAGTTAGTCTGTGAAATTCAAATAGTGATACTCAATTTACAATGATTTGAAAACAGACTAAACCACATTTGAGAACCTTGAACCAGCAAATATTTGTGTTTAACAATTAGTCAGTTACTTAAACTGTTGATGGATTAATTGTTTCT